GCCATTCATATAATACTTACCTAATTCCCTGTTCTGCTTTCCTTAGATGGTTGTACTGAACCCAAACTTCAGATCATTTATTTGTTTTCTTCTTCCTTCCAATGAGACTATTGTTAGGTTCACATTTTTAAATCCACGACTCAGCTTCTACTATATTTGTGGTAAAAGGTGAGAATTCCATTAGGCTTTTCATTTTTAGGATTTTTCTTATTTCATAAATCTCTGCTGGAATTAATACATAAAGGGAGGAGGAGGTACATTCTTTGTCCCTTTCATTTGTATTTGATATTAAAACCTATTTAGGGAAGTAGTACTTTTAGAGATAACCACCAGTCCTAATGGTGGTAATTTGACTATTGATGGACTTAGTCTCTTGTTTCACTGTAAATAAGAAAACACCACCTTCAAGTTAGCCAAATTCCTATTAAAAAGGAAAGAGAGGCTTTCCTCTTCTCCAAAAGGTAATATGCAAGTTTGGTATTTTTCATTTGAAGAACATATTGCTTTAATTATGCTAGTTATGGTTTTGGCATTTGGAACCTCTACCTGATGAGACAGGTGGTATAACCTGTCTGTATTGAAACACTATTTTGTTAGGATTGATTTATTATTAAGTATCTTTTCCTCTGAGAAGTTGATCTTTGAATGATTCTTGGGGATGATTAAGAAGCTAAGTCTAGAGTCCCAAGTCATGCTTCTCCCTTATAACTGACACATTTGAGAATGTTAACTTTCATTTGCTTGCACTCTGGTTTTCTCTTGAGCCTTTCTTATCAAGTAACCCATAGACATCTTATGAAATGTTTCAGAATAAGCAATAGTGGTATAACTTAAAAGGTTAATCTTCCCTTTGACTTCCTACAATCCACATTATTCAAAAACCTGAAAAAATTGCTTTTATCCTAGACGCAAATCCAGATCTCCTTCCCCTAGAAGACGATCTTCCCCTGTCAGGAGAGAGAGAAAGCGCAGTCATTCTCGATCTCCCCGTCACAGAACCAAGAGTCGGAGTCCTTCCCCTGCGCCAGAAAAGAAGGAAAAAACTCCAGAACTCCCTGAACCTTCAGTGAAAGTAAAAGAACCTTCAGTACAAGAGGCCACATCTACTAGGCAAGTACTTAAAATCTGTAAATAATTACAATTTTAGACTGTTAGGAGTTCCTGCAAACATGACATCTCAGTTCAAAACAAATTACTTATTTTCCCTTTAGATTTTCAAAATTATAAAATTAGCTTGGTAAATTGAAATTGTATGTGAGACTGTAAGGACCCTTACCCCCCAGAGGTGACCACTGTCTGCCAGTTGGATCATTTCTGATATTTTATATACCATGTATTGATTTTCTTCCTGGTATATTATGGATGAATTTGTACTTTTTTTTTTTTTT